AGATCATAGCATTGATTGCCATACTATTCCTCAAAGTGACACAAATGTCATTAACTGATCGTTTATTATAAATATTAAAAAATAAAATATATTTATTAATGTGTTTAACAGTTTAATACTATTAAATCTATACTATAATTTATCATTATAATTAATTATTAATATTAACTATGGCACTTTATAGTGTGAGTATATGAAACCGCTGGTCCCTCGACTCCTCCCTCACTCGTTAATGTTTATTAATTTATTGTTAATTTTTTTTGTAATATTTAAGCGAATTATAAGACAATTGATATTATGTGGCGGCGAATCCCTGACCACTAAACCTAATATTTCATAACGGTATACAAGTTTATATCAAGTTTAGTCAATGATAGCAATGTTATCCAATATCTCCACCTATTGATCGATAAACACAATTGCTTTGAGTTTTATGTTTAAAATTTTTACTATTGATATTGCATAAGGAATTGATACGGAATTTACAAACAGTACATTATATTCATTATATTTAATATTAAATCATGTCATAAAGTGTTTAAGATTTTGGTATTTTAAGAACATTAATGAAATTTTGGAAATAAAATTTGATAATTTTTAGTAGAAAAATGTTCTATATGAATTGCCACCAACTAATACGACCATGTTCACTTGTTTAGCCATATGTCCAGTCAGTTCGTTGTTTGAAATTTCTAAATTATTATTAAATTATATTTAAGTTATTAGTAATTTAGGCAATTAATTATTTTTTATGCTATTTATAAAATAGGATTTAATTGTTAATCGTTTCAACGAGTGTTCAAATTATAAATAAATAAATTTAATGATTGAATGTTTTAGTAAATAATACACTAATTGTTGCATTACTTGTCGCGACTGTCGATAAGTATATAATGAAAACCAAATGCCATTTCTGGTGATTGTGTTGTCGACTGTCGGACAATAGGACGAGGGGTTAAGAATTGGATCCGGAATTCATTACTCCTAACGCCTAACCCTTTATCGCCGTTCACTTCAGGCAAATAATAGTTCGTTAAAATGATTACCAAAACTAATGATAAATATTTAGAAAACATTTTGTTAATTATAAACATTATTTAAATACACATTTCATATTGAAAAGTAGTTTATTATATGTTGATATAATATTACATGTTTTGTGGCTTAACATACGGGTAAATATTACAATTATGATAATTATAAATTATGCAACTATTCATTTGTCAATGACAAATTGTCATTAATAATTGATTAAATTGTCTGTTAATTTCAAAATGTTTGTTATATACTGCAAATAATTTTGTGTTCATATTATTCCCGGTGTTAACCAAATCTAAATCATAAAATTCTAGGTTTTAATTGTGAAATAATTAATAAAAATAATGTAATTAAATATAAATGTATTTAATATTTGTCTAATTCCTCGAGTTTAACACTTGTAATACGAGAGCAATTAGTGTTGAGATAATCTTCAACTGTCTTCGAGTTAATCTCTTTATCGAAACGACCGCTGATATCAATGCAACGAATTTGTGTCAGTTTTGACAATGCATTCAACACATTGTCTGTTATTATCACTCCATATATAGACAGACATTGAAGTTGTGGTAAATTGTGATCAATATTAGCAAAGAAAGTATCGGATATGTATTCACCAATATTACAATATAGCGTTAAATGCGTTAATCGTTTCAATTTATTTAATAAATCGCTGGTTATATCGATTGGAGCTCTCATTTCCAAACGTTTCAATTGTTTAAAGTTTGCGGCAATTGTTTGCAACACTTGTTTCTTACAATGTGTTGAATGAGTAATAATTGATAGACTCTTCAGTTGCGGACATTTAGGCCCAATTTGTGCCAATAATTGCTTATAATCTTCTTTGTAATTGATATCCATATAAAACTTGATTGCAATCAATGGTTTCAGTTGCGCTAAACTATCCGATAGTCTGTTAATCACATTTTGGTCGATAGATATGTTTAAATTTAATTCAATTGTCATAATATTGTGGCCGTAATTGTGAGCAAACTTTTCAAACAAATTCAATTGATATTCAATTGTATAATCAGACCAGTCGTTGAAATACATGTCAACACTATTGAGCCGTTTGTAATGCAAATCAGTTGCGGCACTCAATGCGAGCGCTATTTTCCACGAATCGTCAAATCGTAACTCAATTGCAGTTAAATTCACACATTTTTCATAGCATTTATACATCATTTTGGTCGAGAAGTAGTCAAGTGATATGCTTTTCAATTGTTGGCTATATTTGGCCAAAAACTTATCAATAATTTGGTCGAAATGACGGCAGAAATTAATACAAAAGTGTGTCAAATGATTGCAGTTTGTAATAAGACATTCAATCAGTTGATTGTCTGAACCCAAGAATGCGTTTTTACAATAAACACGTGTAATGTTTGGACACTTTGCAAGTATTGTCTTAATTGTGTCCAAATTGTATTTCATTGACCAATTTTTCACAATATTTAACACCAATTGTCTCTCAAATACCACTCTTTGCCACTGTTTTGAGACACATTCCCAACGAAACCGGTCTTCAAATGACAGATAAGACAACAACTCTTCGCACAAATCGTCGCCAAATCTATCGAAAGAGTCTTTACTATAGTTTTCACACATTTTTCACACAAAATAATAAGAAATTGACTTAAAATGAGCACAAATTGTGTTTAAAATGTGATCAAAAAACAATGCGTTCACTAAAAACGAGTTCACTCTAAAGAGGTTCACAACTAACTAACGATTGCATCAAAAATATTACTGTTAAGGCTATGGGAAGGGGTATTGAATTGGTTTAACTGCAATACACCGCACACTTGGGCTAAACGAATGGCAAAAACCATTAAAGCATTGAATGGTTTGTATGAATGCCTGACCTCTGCTGAAAGGAATCGATTGTAAAGAAAGTTTCAAACAATTACTAAATAACTAATTATATAATTTATGACACTAACTATGATTAGGGAACTACTCCTACATTTTCCCATAAACTATATTTTATTAAGTTTTAATAAATGGTTACAACTTTATAATAAAAAGTGTATCAAATGAATGCGATAAACATATTCTGTATTGAAATAAATATTTTGAAAAGATTGCAAATTCTTACAGAATATTCTTATGCATTGAATACGAACTCTATTGTCGTGAATGATAAGCATTATATGGTATTATGTATGAAATCAATGCATTCATTACAATGTTATCACTTATAAATTTTGTATTTTATCGCAAAGTTTTTAAAACTTTTCTTTCGTAACAATAGTTTTATTTTAATTTTAAATAATTAAACAAATAATTTATAAAAGTTTTCATTTAAAAGTAGATATAAAGCGATGTCTGAACAGCAGATCTCGTGTAGGGTTTGTCTCAATACTGGGCAACAGTTGGAAAGTGAGAGGACTTTGCTATACAGGGATGTGGTGTGCGATTGTCGCGGAACCGTTGGTGCCATTTGTCACAACTGTTTGCAGCGATTGATACTTACGTACGGAGAGAGACATTGTATGCATTGTATGAAGAATTACGCGAATATAGAGTTGGTATACAAGAGGCAAACCATTGACACGTTTTGTAGGATTTGTGACAAAATACTCAACGTATATGTGAGATGTCGGGCCGTACTCTACATTCTGGTCATTGTATACATGAATCCAAATCTAGTGATACTTTTGGTACTTATGTTCACTCATTACGAACTCATGTCTGTCTATACGCCAGAGTTGGTCGACATTCGGGTGAAGAGTGGACGCAGTTTTTGGTCAAACATTTGGACAGTTATTCAATCGATGTTTAGATCATGAGTTGTATTGATTTTAGTATTTTGTAAACTTATTGTTACAATAAAGACGAGTCAGAATGCCTTGAATGTTATGCAATCATAAGGGTGTGTACGTGACATACACTACACTGACTACAGCAATATGATTGGCTGTGAGACATGCATACACAGCCACACATGTCTAACAACCAATCATATTGCTGTAGT